AGGTCGTGCTGGTTGAGCTGGAGGTGATCGTGGTGGCGCTGGACGCGATGGGACGAGTGCTGTGGTATGTTGTATCCTTCAGGACGATGGCCAGGGGCGGACGACACCGTCTGGGACGATGTTCCAGTTCCTTCCGGGCAGCAGCAGGAGCAGCAGGAGTGCACTTCCTTCAATCGGACGGTGCAGAGGAGTCTGTCGTGTTGTTGCAGTCCTGTTCAAGGGCTAACTGACTGACTGCCATATGGGGGAGGGCCAGGTGTGTGTGTGAGTAAGTCTGTGGACGTTCGCAATGTCATCACGGATGCCAGCATCGGGAACAAGTTCAAACAAGTTCCCGACCACCAGAGAGAGATCACCCGGACTGATGACGTGAGCCAGAATTCCAAGGGGAAATAAGAGGGACGACAGAGAGCGAGATCATGAAGGGAACATGATGACCAAGGGCTTCAGGAAGTGCAAAGAAACCAAAGAAGGAGTCACGCCTGAGGGGGGGGTGATGAAGACCAACCGACAGGGGTTGAAAAATGCTTACCTCGTGATCAAAACCCCCACCTAGCTCCCGTGTCACCTAAACCAGCCACCGCGCCACACCCTTTGCCTCCTTTGCCTCCTTTGCCTCCTTCGCCCATGCCGTTGGAATGGGCGCAGGGCACAGTTTCGGTGACTAAACCCACCAGAACCAGAGGGGCCGGTAATTAGGGATAGTTCTGGGGAACGTTTGAAGGAGGATTCGACACCCCAGGTTTCAGTCATTTTCCAGAGAATCGACCAATCCTTTACGATTCAGCAATGCGGGTTGGCAGGCGCCTGTCTGGGGTGTCCACTTTCGGCCGTCTTAGGAAGCAGCCGTCAAATTATTGAATTCTTCACCTATGTCGCGGCCTCCGGGTGTGATCACCCGCCATCTTGCCCATGCATCTGCAAGCTGTCACGATCTGCCATGACGCCTGGCACCATCAACCCATCAACCCAGTCCTGATGCAAGACGGCGGTATTTTCAACCATTCTGTTCTCCTTTTCTTCTTTCAGCAAGCCTTCTTCAATCCTGAACACCGGTCCTTGCGTGATTGCCGTTCTGCGGCTGTCCAGAGCACGGATAAGCGCATCAAACAAATTGACGGCTGCAGCTCATCGTTCTGACCTAGAGCATGTCATCGCGTTCTTGCGTTCTGACGTCAATTGTTGCTTCTGTGGTCGGACCGCGTTTCCGTGCAGCTTGACTTGTCTGAGTAAAGAGCCGCACGTCTGTCGCCATGCGATGCTGATTTCGACTGCACACACACACACACACACATGCACACGCGTGCACACACAAACGCGCGCCACTGACCCTCATCACCACCACTGCTCGATCTCATCATCTCCGCAGACCTACAGGTCTATCAGTTCCCAAGAAAAAACAATCAGGGGTATAGACGCGCACCCGAGTGTGATGGCGCCCTCCACATCACACACACATCAACCACAAAAAGTCTGACTTTTGGGGGTTGTGATGCTGTAAATCATAATGTCATCAAATTTCTTGGCGAACGACCAGACCCCGATCGATGTCGTTCGCACAGGCGATTCGGAATCATGGCGGCTGGCCCGGACGATGGCAGGTGGGCCTGGCACTCTTTCAAGTCTTGGTCTGTGTCAGGCCTACTCGTAAGCGCCAAAACAAGTCTGGTATCTAGAAGTACAAGCATGTCAAACGCCTGCTCGGCAGGCTTGACCTATGCGCCTCGGTGTCAAGCCTCCGTTAACGGCCGCGTAGACGATACAGCGTCACCTTGACACGTGGATTCCGCCGGGCAAAGTCCAACAGGGCCGCCCGATACGTTGGCCAATGCCCTCCGGCCAAGCCACAGCCAATCCTGCGGTGTGCAAACACGATTGCGCGCGTTAAGATTGATAATAAGAATGTAATTATCACAATAATAACAGCATGAGCATTGATATAGGACCGAGCCAGTTCTGAAAAGCCCAGGCAGACCGGCGTCGAAAGAAGAAGGAGCAAAACACGTACTCGTGCGGAAAGGCCACCGATTTGAGGTTCTCGATGCGTTCCAGCGCCGTCAGTCCCTGGGAAAACCATCTGTTCACCCCAAAGCATAGCCTTTTGCCATGAGCCAGACGCAAACACATCTCGCGACAAACAGCCTGCACTCTGCCTTGGCACATCTTGTCAAACCTGATGCGATCTTCTTGCCGCTCGCGGTGCCCTGGTACACGCTGCCCAAACAAGGCCACCACACGCCTTCTAGTATTCCCGATATCAGCCAGGCGGGACGTGAGGGCGGGGTATCGCCGATGGAAACACCGCACAAACAAGCGACCTACTGCTCGCCCATGCCACGGATAGCAATTGTGCCCGGCGTGTCCTTGCGCTTTTCTTTGTACCGCTCCTCATACACATTGGCGTACGGGTAGCGCTGAAATAATGCCTTGGCCAACCCTACGCGCGCCATCCAGGCAGCCCCGCGTCATGCCTGAACTCAGCCTTTGCCCTCGCGCCTAGCCACCCACTCACCTCGGGCTCCACGACTCAGACAGTTGGCCTGATGAACAATATACTGCTCCGAAGCATCCAACAAGTCGCCCTGGCACTCCTGCCAGTTGCTCGGCGGTGGCGATGCCATTCCGTGTTTTGTTGCTCTGATCAACCCACTTGATCTAATTCCTGTCTAGACAAGAAATGTTGAAGTCTTGATACACTTTGAGAGTAGTCATGTCAGATTCGTGATTAAATTTGTCAGACCAATTATGTCAGACTAATTACCATGTCAGACTGATTATGTCAGCTTCATGCGTTTGCGGGCGACAAAGAGATGGCAGGGGTCCTCAATACTCGAGCGGACCACGGGCAGGGTCCTTTGCTCCACGACCTGCCGCACAAGATCCCGAGCCGCCACGGAGTGAGGCGAAAAAGAATGGACACCGATGAGGAATAGATGATTCTCAAGAACAGGAGAAAGGGAACAGTCCCAAACCTGCCAGCCGTGATCCTCCAGCCATGTCGCTTGCTCTCGATACATGATGGTGACGAGCACACCGTTGGGTTTGAGCACCCTGTGCATCTAAGTAACGTACCCGGGGCCCCGATGCCAGCGGCCATGAGAAACAACCGGCAGAAGCATCGATTCCTGGTGGATCCATACCCGTGCAGCCCATGTAGGAGCACACCTCTTCCAATGCCATGTCCGCCGGTGTCACTGCTTGCTCGTACTAGACTCAAACGTGGATACGCACACGCCATCAGCTTGCTCCGCACAGTGCACAGCCCGCCACCCACACCCTTGGCTCCGTGCCCAACCCCTTGTCCTTTGGACAGCCAGCATGCACGTACGTGCTCAATTTCCCGCCATGGATCCAGCAGGCCCTTGTCGATAACGCAGGCAAAGCTTCCATCTGCAAAAGGCAACTCGAGCACATTGCACGACGTATACTGTGGCTGTCCCTGCCACAAGAGCGCCGCGATTGTATCGGATACTTAGAAACCACCACAGGAAGCAAGCGAGGCGTTTGGGAAGAGCGGCGGGGACAGCAGCGAGCTGGGCAACTTGATGCTTTTGCTCGACTACCCTGCTCAAAAGCAGCGGGAACTGACCGCGCTCGTTGCCCCGAGCGCGGCTTGCGCCCGTGCAGCTGCAGCGGCAGTGGCTGCGGGACACAGGTCCGTCACTGTTTGCTGGGCATAGCCATCCTGTGCCATGCACACCGGCAGAACACTCAAGCCGTTGCCAACGTGCAATATCTGAAGAGGCTCTCCAGCGAGCAAGACGATGAGCCTTGGTCGTGAACAAACAAGCTCAAGGCATAGGTTGCCGCCATCCAATCTCAAAGCATGACCGCTGGAGAGGGACGCACACGCACCGGTACGGACGGGCTGGGCAGCCACTGCCGCAAGACGGGGCGCAACGTCTGGTAGTCGATGCTCCACTCCTCGTAGTCAGCACCGCGCGCCAAAAGCTGTCCCACCCACGCCTACCGTGAGATCAAACGGCAGCTCGCCCTGCACGGCAGACTAGATCAATCGCAGGCGACCAGCGCGCTGGCCAACCCCATCCCCACCGTGTCAAAGTGTTGGTGCCAGTAGCCCTCGCTGCCAAAGAGGTGCCCCGTCGGAGCCTCCGCCTGCAAAGATGGCCCCGTGCTCAGCGCCCCCGCCGCCCCTGCCAACCCAAGGACCCCAACAGCCATGCGCCTACCCAACCACCCCCATCTCGCTGCCATCCCCATGCCTCCTGCTTATCCCTCGAGCTATCCAGCAGTTCCGCCTCCGACCATCCGTTCCCATGGACCGCGAAAGGCGAAATTGTCAGCATAATGATACTACGATCTGACAATCTCTCTCTCTCTCTCTCTCTCTCTCTCTCTCTCTCTCTCTCTCTCTCTCTCTCTCTCTCTCTCTCTCTCTCTCTCTCTCTCGAATCTCTCGATCTCTCTCTCTCTCTCTCTCTCTCTCTCTCTCTCTCTCTCTCTCTCTCTCTCTCTCTCTCTCTCTCTCTCTGATCTCTCTCTCTCTCTCTCTCTCTCTGG